GGGTCAAGTCTGTCTGCCCTGGCCAAGCAAGAACCTGCCCTGCTGTGCTCCTCACCCTTCTCAGACCCCATTGCTGGCTGAGATCTGGGGGAACATCCCCTAGCTCGTGGCCACACCCCTAGCTCGTGACCACACCCCTAGCTCGTGACCACACCCCCAGCTCATGACCACACCCCCTAGCTCATGGCCGCCCGTGGATGGGACTGGCTCGGCCTGGTCCTGAGGCCTACCTGGCCTGGTTGCCTGCCTGCCCGGCACCTGAGTGGCTGCCTGGGCTCCACCAGGACCGGTGCCTCCCTGAGAACAGAGTAGCAGGATCATCAGTTCCTGTCCTGCCTTGGGGGCCTTCTCAGGGCTCACTGCCCAGCTCAATCCTGTTCTGGGACCCTCTTCTGCCCCCCACCCTGCCCCGCAGTGAGGGCCCAGGAAGCCCAGGAGTCTCTCTCAGGTGCTACTGGGCCCGGTGTGTAGGGCGGGTGGGACACAGGGGCTGGGCTGGCAGCACAGGCCTGTCTTCCTGCAGGGCAGACCTCCAGCCACGTGGGGTCCCCAAGGCCAGTCCTTGGAGCATATCCCAAACCTCACCCACTCCAGGTCCTAACAGGGTTCAGGTTCGGGTTGGGCCTGGCTTTTCTGTTTCAGTAGGTGTTCATCCATCAAGCTGGAGAGGCCTGGTCCTCCCCTCCAGCCCGCCCCCCCCCCCCCCCCCCCCCCCCGCCGCCCCATCTCTGCCCCAGTCAAACCTGCCACTTCAGTGCTCTCCTGGTCACCACCACAGGCCGGGCACAGCTGCTTCAGCCTGAGCCCAGGGGCCACCACCACTCAGAGTTGTGCCTCCAAGGGGTCTTCTCCCCTCAGCGAGGGACCTCTGGTAAATGCAGAGCTGCCTGGCCACGCTCCTGTCCTGTGGAACAGCCACTGGTATGACTTGACCAGCGAGGCTGCTGCGGTCAGGCCTGTCTGGGAAACGGTGAGGTAAACCAAGTCCAAGAGGTCTGTCTCCTCTCTGCAGGCCTTGTCAGAGCCTTTAATGGGCTCACCTCAGTGTGACTCCAAGAGAGCCACAGCTCTGAGTCCAAGAGCATCTCAAGCTCTTTACAGGGGACAGCCAGTCCGCCTTTCTCAGCCTAGGTCCTCAGGAGCCCCAGGGCCTGCCCATCTGCCCCACCACCTCTCCTGCCAGTTTCCCTCATGGCGCTGGGCTCCACCCCACCAGACTCTGCTCACTCCAGTTTGTCTGTCCTTTCAGTGGGCATTTATTACACATCCATGGTGCACCATCAGGCGGGCTTCCCTGGCGGCTTAGCGGTAAAGAATCCGCTTGCAATACAGGAGACACACAGATTCGATCCCTGGGTTGGGAAGATCCCCTGGAGAAGGAAATGGCAACCCGCTCCAGTACTCTTGCCTGGAGAATCCCATGGATAGAAGAGCCTGTCAGGCTACAGTCCAAGGGGTTGCAAGGAGTTGGACGTGATCCAGAGACTAAGCACACGTGTGCACCCGGCACTAGACCAGGTGCTGGGGATAAGGCAGCGACAAGATGACACAGGTCCCTGGCGCTCAGCCTCGGGGGGCGGGGGGCGGCCACACGCAGGTCGATAAGGAACACGGGGTAGGGGCAGGTGGGGCTTAGAGCTGCAGGGAGCAGCCCCGGACGTCAGCTGGGTCTGGTAGTCCTCCCGTGGACAAGAACAGTTTCACGGAACACCAACACCCCCAGGGTGACCACGGAACACAGACAGCAGCGTGGACCTCGTCCAGGCCACAGAAATGTTCGGACCTCCCCCCTTCCCAGCTGCAGGATTGACCGCTGCTTCCGGGGGTGAATCACAGTCCCGCCCCCTCCTGTCATGGTCACGCCCCTTCCTGACAGCAGCCAATTGGAAGCGAGCTGGCCTCCTCAGGCCCCGCCCAGCAACGCGGGCACCTGGTGTTGAGAAGCCGCGTGACGTCGCCTTGTGGCCGAGACCAGTGAACATCTTGGCCCACCACGGGGGAGCCCCGATTTGCTTTGACAGCTCAGTGGAGACAAGAAGAGTGGGTAGTGGGGAGAGAAAACGGGGACACGGGGAGCGAGTGTGGGCGCTGTTGGCCCGGGTGGGTGTCGGGGAAGGCCTGGGATGTCTGGGGGAGGGAGGCAGTGGGGCGCCCCGTGCCCCGAGCAGCCGTGGACCCTCACCGCCTCATCCCGCGGGGTCCGCCTGCTCCGCCCACCTAGCCGGTGTCTGTGGTCCAGGGACCCCGCAGTACCTGCAAGTGCCGCTCTGCTTGTCCTCAGTCTGGATGAGGAGATGGGTTCAGAGAGGGCCTGGGTCACACACCTGGGGTGTGGCTAAGTGGGTGAGGGCGAGGCCCCTCTGCGGGACGGTCTCCTGAGCCTGTGTTCCTTCTGCCACACCCTGGGCCCCCTCCCTGGCAGCAGGGGCTGCTGGGCTGAATGCCTGTGGGCCAGAGGGCTGGCAGGTGGCTTGCTGCCTCCCTGGTGCCATGCCCTGCCTGCACCTGGGGTGCCTCCATCTGGGGGTGGCCACAGACAACCTGGAGGGCGCCTCCCCCATCCCCAGCCCCGCCGGGGCCCCTGCTGGGTTCTGCCCCGGCCCCAGCCCCGAACACTGGGCGGGGGGACACCTGGCTGGGCCCTCGGGTGCTGGGCTCCTGGGCCACTGGTGACTCCCAGAGGACTTTCTCGCTCCTGGAACGGTCCTGCCCCCACCTGCCCCCATGCTCCGGGGGGCTGTGCCCACTCTGACCTTCGTGGCAGGCTCCTGCAGGTGCCTCCTTCTCCCGCAAGGACCCCCACCCCCTGGACTGGCTCCACCGCCCTTCCTCTTCCACGCCTGCCCTTCGGGGGTCGCCTGTCCTCCTCCCTCCCAGCCCCACACCCCAAACCCCCCCTCCCAGCTCCACACCCCGAAACCCCCCTCCCAGCCCTGCACCCTGGAACACGCCCTAACACCCCCCTCCCAGCCCCACACCCAGAACCCCCCTCCAACCCCACACCCTGAAACCTCCCTCCCAGCCCTCACCCCAAAAACCCTCTCCCAGCCCCCCACCCCAAACCCCCCCATAGAGGTGCCTTCACGCACCCCCTTCCTCCCTGTCCTCTGTCCCCTCATCCTGCCTCTCCGACCCCCCTAGGCCTTCACCTCTCTCCACCAGCTGCTGCCTGGGCCCGGATGCCTGCAGGCCACAGGCCAGCTGCTCAGGCCTCCCTGCGGTGCGTGGGGGATGGAACATCCCCACAAGCCAGGGGCCATGGACTTATCCACTGCCCCAGGAGAGGTGTGGGAGAGGGGGTGCTGGGGGAGACCCCATGATGTGTGGGGCAGGGAGGGGAGGAGGGGAAGGAGGGGGGTCAAGGAGGGGGCGAGGTCCTCTCCAGGATGGGCTGCCCTTTCGTGTTGGCTCCCTGGAGACCTCAGCGGTCACCACGCTGTGCTGCCCTGCCCACCTGCGGCTTGGCTGTGGGATTGACACCCAGGATTTGGGAAGAAGGCAGAGCACTGGGGTCCAGGTCCCACCACCTTTAAGCCCTGGTCAAGCCTGTGGGGAGAGGGAGTCACTTCCTTCTGAGGGGCCAGGTGTCTGGGGTGTAGGCAGCCACTTTGTTCTTGTTAAAATGGACCCTCATGTGCGAGGCAGATGGCAGAGGACCTTGGGCAGGCCCTGGGCTGGGTCTGCTTCCCTGTCCACAGGGAAGGGAGTCCAGAACTCCACCTGCCCCTTCTTTGCACCCCCATCCCCTCACCATGGGCAGGCTGACACCCCAGGGTGGTGACAGCTGCAGGACCGCCTAGGGTACACGGGCCTGGTTGCGGTTCCAGCTCTGCCCTGGCCCCCTGTGTGGCCCAGGGACGGTCACTGAGCTCTGAGCATCAGTGTCCACACCCATGAAACGGGCTCAGGACTGCAGCCTCCTGCCTAAGGGCCAGAGACATGGCCCCGGCACGTGGCATCCGCAGTGGGGGCTGACTCGGGAGTATTTATACCAGTGGCTGGAGCCTTCCACTCCCATCCCTGGGAGAGTCAGCCCTGCCACGGAGACCTGGTCACCATGGAGATTGCAGGAGCTGGGGCCATTTTTGCAGCAGGCGATCTCAGAGGTCATGGGAGCCTTGGGACCAAGGGCACTTGCTGCTCTCAGGGCGGATGATGAACTTGGGCCACCAAGCAGGAAGCTGGGAAGAAAGCAGCCTTGGGTTCAAGAACAGCTGAGGCCACGGTGGGATTGGAGCCCCTTGAGCAGACCAGGCCTCAAGGCCCTCTCCTCCTGGCCCATCTCAGCCCTCCAGATGTCCAGGCTCTGCCATACATAACTGTAGCTGATGCCGCCCCCTCCTCTTCTAGAGAGACTAGCTGAGCTCAGTCCCTTCACCCAACTGACCCAGGGATGCCCCTAGGACCCCAGCCCCACCCCCCAGCCCACCCTGGACCCTCAGACCCTGCCTGATCCAGAAGGGAAAACACGGTGGAAACCCATCTCTGCTAAATGACACCGATGGGCATGAAGTTTCTCCAGGCAGCCCCGGTCCTACGGCAAGAGCCAGACCCTGCCCTCCCATCTCAGCCTGGCATCTGAGGCCTCCACGTCAGGCCCCTCAGACAGGGCTGCCCCCATCATGGGGTCTCCATCCTCCCAGGTGTGGGGACTGTCTCCCTTCCTGCAGAAAGTGTGGCCTCAGGACTGCAGGCAGTGCCTGGAGACAGGGTGACAGATGTGGCAGGGAGCCCTGCCCCTCACAGGGGTGCTGTGGGTGTGGCCGTGAGGCGGGGCGCAGATGGGGGGCAGGATGCTGCAAGCTGGGTCACCTGGGGCCATGCAGGGGTTCACCCTGCCCAGGGCGTGGCGGGGGGGGCGGTGAATGCTGCCCAGTCATTCGTCCGCAGGAAGATCTCCTGGGGCCCTCCCCGCCGGGCTGACCTTGAACCCCAGGCTTCTGGCCCCTGGTGGGGTCAGCCCCTTCCACAGCCTTGGGCCGGGGCAGTGGAGGGCCCACGACCAGCCGCCATGGCCTTCTCCCGCCACACGGTGTCGCTGTCGGGGACGCTCAGTGCCATGGCAGGAGCCGCCCGCGGCCCAGCCCAGCCCGCCCTCCAGCTGGCCGGGGAAGCGGGGACCGAGGGGGATGAGAGCAGGGCTGGGCCCAGGGCCAGGGAGGCGGCCAGGCCACGGAGCTGAAGGAGGCCGTGCTCGCAGGCAGGGCCCAGGTTGGCTGGGGGGGGGGGGGGGGGCGGGGGGGGGCGAGGGGGCAGGGGTTCTTCCTCCATAAACATGATTACGGAACATGTCTTAGGACCCGGCGGCGTAAAGACCAATGAACTCCAAGCTGGTTTCATTGCTATGGATGCCATGTGTTAAATAGTACGTATTATTATACACAGTCACTACATATATCATGTATTACATGTAATATACAGTCAGTATCATTGTATTCATTTCTCCTTCGAGTTTCAAACGGAATTGAAGTGAGACTTTCCATTGTCATGAACAGCATGTGGGCCTTGGCGCTGTGCCCGCCCTGCCGATGGCAGGCTAGCTGTGCCCTGTGACCCTGCGTGTCCCCTGAGACGCCGGACCCTGGTCATCTCGCCCGAGTCGCCTCAGCCCTGGGGGACGGCCTGGCCCCTCCGTGCCCACTTGGCCAGGCGGGCCCTGGCTCAGTCGTGGCCTGTGGAGTCTAAACGCTGGACTGGCCCTGCTGTCATCCCTTCCAGAGGGTGCAAGGTCAGGGTGGTCCCTGTGAACCTTGAGGCCCACGGCCTCTCAAAGGCCCCTCACCTTGGGCACCCCAGAAGTCCCTCGAGTCCCTCTGATGAGGAGCCTCCCGGGAAGGGCAGGAATGCGCAGACCTTGCCCCGGCGGGACACAGTTGCACTCCGTGGCCTGTCTCAGCTGGCAGAGGTCCGAGGGAGGCCTGGCTTCTACACGCTTGGGGATGGGGGATCACCTCCAGGGTCGTGGTCTCTCGCTCTCCCCCAGCACCCACCCACACCTCTGAGCCTGGTCCTGGCCTACCCAGGGGGTGCTGACAGTCTGGGGGGCCCCCAGCCTGCTCTCCACCCTGCTCACCTGCTGGCCAGACCCAGGGCTCACGACGGGCCAGGAGCCACTCCCTGGTTAGGCAGCAGGTGGCAGCAGGCGCCCAGCTTCGGACCAGCGCTCAGGGCTGGCCCCCAGCTCCCTCCCTCCCGCACCCCCCTCCACTACCCCAGCTGAGCAGTTTCAACTGCTAGCTCCTTCCATCCATCCAACAGCCCCTATGAAATGGGATGAGGAAACAGGCTTGGTGAGCAGAGTAGCTGCCCAGGCCTCTGCTCCTGAAGCTCGGTCCTTTCTGCCACTTCCCAGGGCCTCACAGACAAAGTAGCTGCTTTGCCCACCCTGACTTCATCCAGTTTGTTTTGAGATTCAGCTGCTTCCGCACATTACTGCTGACCAGGTGATAGGTACCCCTGTCCCGCATGCCCCTCGGGCCCGCATCTGGGGCCCTGTTGGTCTCTGGGGTTGGCCAGTTGGTGTCAGAGGAGAGGCTGGACGTCGGTTGACTGGAAGGTAGAGAAAGTTGCAGGGTGAGCCAGGTGTCACCTCCTCCGGAAAGCTATCTCCGATTGCAGTGCTGGGCCCAGGGCTCTTCAGGGCTCTCCTAGGCCCTGGACTGCCGTCATCTTGGCGCTGACCACAACAGGTGGCTGTTGTGTGTCTGGCCTGCTCCCTATCAGGCCATGAGCTCTGATCACAGGGCGGGGAGTGGACCCGGGCATGGCAGCCCACCCCCCAAGGGTACTCGGTCAGGGTGATTGGTCCCTTCGACACCTGGGCTGGGGTCTTGGGGACGGGCCTGCAGCAGCCACTGGCAGACAGCCTGAGGCCTCAGCAGAAGCTGGGTGAGCACTGGGAGGGCAGTCAGCCCGGAGACAGGGCCTGACATTAAGGGCTACTCCGGAAACTGTCCTGAGGGCGCTGGGAAGCTCCAGGCCCCGGTCAGGCACCAGGTCTGGGGGGCGTTGGGGGCCAGGCCTGGACTGTGCTCTGAGCAGCTGATGGGGGTCCACACCACCTGCAAGGGGGCCTGAGGCGGCCTCTCCAAGGTGGGAGCCCAGGGACGCCTCTGGAGCCTGGGTCCCACAGCTTGTTCTCAAACGGGGTGTGAGGGGTGGGAGCTGGGGTCCAGGACTGCAGCCGCCAGGAGGGCCTGAAGGCTGCCGGGCTGGCAGACAAGGGTGTGCTGACCCCCAGAAGCCGGAGCTGGCCTCCCGTCGGGCCAGACCCACGCCCCTGACCCCAACGTGCATGCCCTCCAGCGCCCAGCCCCTAGGCTCCCAGAAGGAACAGGGCCGACTCCATCTCCACATTGAACAGCTTTATTGAGCTCCGGGTGTGTACGCTGCAGCCTCCCGCCCGCCAGCCCGGGGCTGCAGCCACCCAGTCGCCTGCTGCGCGCGGGGGCCGACCCTCCGTTGAACGTCACTGGGCCCCTCAAGGAAGGCAGTAGGTTGTATAGTTATCTTCCGAGGGGGCAACATCACTACCCTGAAACCACACAACCTACTACCTCACCCCGCCGGCACCCGGCTGTGGGAGGGTCCGCCGTCCGCCGCCTGCCCAGCCCGTGGCCCCCGGAGCTGTGGAGGGCCACGCCGAAGGCACCATGGCTCCCCCGCGGCGGCCGGCCCGCCTGCGGGCGCCGAGAGTGGGCACGGGCCCCACAGGGCCACCGCGGGCTGGAGAATGTGCCTCTCGCTTCCTGCCCGCGACAGCAGAGTCCAGGCCCCCCTCCCTCCGCCGACCAGAGGCCTGACCCTGAGCTGGACGGGCTGGCGGATCAAAGCTGGCCCCGGGACCTGCCCCAGGCCACACAGCACTGCCCCACCCTGCAGAGGCCGCACCCCTGCCCCCCCCCACCCCCCAAGCCAGAGTCCTGGGTGCTGGCCGCTGTCGGTATTACAGCCACTTCAGGAAAGACAGTAGATTGTATAGTTATCCCATAGCAGGGCAGAGCCCCAAACTATACAACCTACTACCTCACCCCAAAGGGCCGTCAGTCAGTCTTGGCGCCTGGGCTGGACGGACTTGGTGGCTCCCGGAGGTACTTCCCGGAGGCGGCGGTGGGGCAGGAGCTCGGGGTGGAGCTGGAGGCTGAGGGCCCGGGGCCCTGGCAGGCGGGTCACAGGGGCCTGTGCGCCCAGGCAGCTGCCCTGCAGGAGGCCGCTGACCAGGGCGGGGAGGAAAGGAGGGAGGAGAGGGGGCAGGGACGCGGTGGAGCCAAGAGGGCCGCGGGGCTCTCAGGAGTGGCTCACAGGCGGCAGGGCCGCTCCCATCTGGGCAGGAGAGGCCGTGGTGTCCCCAGGCGACCTGCGCTGGAGACGCTGGGAGGAAGGCTGGCGTCTGTTAGAGATCAACCTGTGCCCAAAGCGGCCACAGTGCCCACCGCGCCCCTATCTCACAGCACAGCCACCCCCGATCCTGCCTCCACCCACTGGACCTGGGGGGGTGCACTCCCTCCCCTGGAGCCTGGTCCTGCCATCAGGGTAACCCGGGCTTTCCCCCTGGGGATAGGCTCTAGAATGTTCCCTCCTTCCAGAAGCGAACCTGGCTCTCAGGGAAGGGTGTCTGGGCTAGAGCTGCAGACACAGGCCCCGGCACCCGAGCCTGAGGCCCACACAGGTCACGTGACCGTCGCAAAGTCACACCGACGAGGTGGCAGGGCAGAGGACAGGTCATGCTGCTTCCTGCTTGGTGAGACCTCCACCTTGTAACTGGTACTGCTGTACAAGGGCGCCGAGCCGTCAGACGCCCCTCACCTCCCCCCACGCCCCTTCTGAGCAGGCTGCCTCCTCCAGGCAGCCACCAGGCTGCTCTGTGCCATGGGGAAGCCAGGTCACTGACCCCAGTGGGCCCTGGGCAGGGGAAGGGCCCGCCCCCTGGCTCACCCCGGCTTGGCCTTGCTCCCTACAGCAGCGGGGGTCTCATGCCCAGGCCCAATACACAGCGTAGAGGCTGCTCCCCGAACAACCCCGAGGGGTATGAAGTCAGTGCCAGGGCCCTCAGCAGGGATGAGGACTCCAGCGCCCACTCCGGGCTGTCCACCCAGAGGACGAGACTGAGGTGCAGTTGCCAGGGCGGGAAGCCGGGAACACCCCAACGCGTGGCTGGCCTGTGGTCACAGCTGTCCTGTCTCTCCTCGAAGCCCCAGAAGGGACTCTGCGTGAGAGGGCCTCAGGGTCCCGTCCCACTGTCTCTGCCTGAACTCCCCACCGGCAGTCAGGACCAGGAAGTCCCCGAGGACAGAGCCAGCCTGCCTCTGAGGACAGGGGTTGAGGAGAGGGTGACCAAGGGTCCTCCCTGACGGCTGAGGTCACAGGGCATCACAGACACAGCTCTGACCACATCCCTCCACGTTACAATCCTCCCGCCGTGGCTCCTTACTTCGCAGCACCAGGATGGCCGGAGGGGCGTGCACAGTCAGCTGTGGGGGGCAGTCACCACACCGAGGCCAGGGTGGACCGGCGTCCCACAGCACAGGGGCCTCCTGGGGGTCCCGGCTGGGCTCACCACGAGGAACGCTGGCCTCAGGCAAACACTCCCATCTCAGCGCTACTTCTTGACCTGTTGGGGTTTAGAAAAAAAGACACAAGCATCAGACTTTGTGCAGAGGTGCAGCCAAGCCTGAGCTCCGGCCACTGCTCCCCGCCTGCTCCCTGGACTCGCCCATCCACCTCCTTCAGATCCTGCGTCTCAGCCCTACTTGTCTCACTACGGTCCCTCGCCTGGGTACACGCCCCATGGGAAGGCCTGGAGAGTGTGGCTGCTCTGGCTGCCCAACGACCCCAGGTGGGGAATGAACAAGATCCAGGCTTCATCCGTGAGTGGCCAGGGCCACTGGCGTCCCCATGCTGGATGGCCAGACCTTTCAGGCCCACTCTGGGGCCTGGACATTGGTGGGGGGCCGGCCGGGGAGAAGGGATGGGTGCTGCCCTCCCATGTGTCAGGCCATTTGTGGGAGTCAGGAGGAGGAGCCAAACTCCCCAATTCACAGAGAAGGCTCCCGACAACGAAGTTGCAAAGTGAAGCCTCAGGTGGTCCCAAGAGTAGAAACGCCGGGGAGGGGGCACCCGGGACCCAGTCTGAGGCCGCAGCCATGGCTCACTCAGTGACTCACGGCCCCACCTGGCTCCAGCCCGCTCGGCCAGCTGGAGGGCCTCTGAACCTCAGCCCGGGGTGCTGGACTTGGAGCCAGGCTCACTGGGGTGTGTCCAGCCCTGGCATGCACCAACCACGGAGACTTGGTGTCCCTGGCCACTGACAGGGATGGAGGGTGGCCCACCGGGCCGCGGGTGTGCTGTCCTGCCCTGTCCCTCCGCGCTCCCAGAGGCCCAACGCCCATCAATCACCTGGGCGCACATCTCTGTGCCCCGCCCGGCCCGGCTCCCGTCACTTCCCCCGCCAGCCTCCAGAGCAGCAGAGTGCCCTGGGCAGCCCTCCCCACCCTGCCACAGGCCTCCTGGCCTTTGCCCAGGCCTCTCCAGAGCCAGGAGTGATTGCCCCGTTGCCCGTGAAGACTCTGTGCTCCCCACACACGTTCCCCTCCCTCATCGGGAGGCCGGGGTGGGCAGGGAGGGCAATGAATTTTCATTCTGTCCTGGCTCTGGGAGCTGGCCTTGCCCTCCTGGGCCCCAGGTCTCATGTCTGGACACCCAGACCTGCGGCAGGCGTGCAGCTGACTCAAGCAGTGCCCGTGAAGATGCCCACAGACGAGGGGGACTTCCTCTCTCCACGAGGGCCGGGTGGGTTCCCGCCCGGCAGCCCAGCTAACGGCCTCACCAGGTGGGCAGGAGGCAGGTGTACCCCCAGCAGGGTTCCCTGAACTCAGGCTCTGCCTGCCCACCAGGGAACCGCTGCCACACAACCTGGCTCTTTCTTTAGCCAACGACCCAGGATTGGCGGGAAGGAGGAGGACTGACTCAGGTCTGAGACCCAATCGTGGAGACATTTCGGAGCTAGTGGGGGAGGCGCCAATTCCGGGTGTCAGGAAGCACGCTTTGCTCAGCCCACTGCCCCACAGCCCTAAAAGTGACCGTGGGTCCGGCCCAGAGAGGGTCAGCAGACACCTCCCCTCTTCCAGTGGGGTGGCAGGGGTCTGAGACCTCCTAAGGGACCCTTCCTGGTCAGCCTGGAGCGGGGGTGGCGGCAGGAGCAGGCACTGTGCCATGAAAGGGGCTCCCTGGGCAGGGCTGCGGGAGCGAGTGGTCAGCAGTTGCCCTGCCATCTGCCACCGCCGGCCCAGCCCCAGGCCCCAGCGTCGGCCCGTGGGCAGAGCGTCGGGCAGGGAGCAGACAGGCCAACCGGGGACAGGTGTGTGGGAGGCCTCAGTGGGCAGGTGGCCCTTTCAGGGCCGGGCGGATGTCTGGAGCAAGCGAGGCAGACGGTGTCACCCCGCAGTCACCTCAGGCTTGGCTTGGGGCCACGGGGACCCGGGACCCCCCCCCCCGAATGGCAGCCCACCCCCAACCGCCACCCCGATTAGGTTTCTCCCCATAAAGCAGCCAGTGTTTCTGCTCGGCAAGCCGTGCCAACAATGGAGTCTGGGAAAAAGGCATGGGGGGTGGCATCTGGGGGCCGGGTCTCCCTACAAACATGGCCCATAAAGTTAACGAGATGTGCGCCCGGCAGAGGCCGGCGGGGGCCGGGCAGAGGCTGGGCAGGGCCAGGCACACACTTGAAAGGGGCAGCCAAACTCAGGAATCAGAAGTTGGATGTAAAATTTTTTTAAATGCAAAAAAGGCCCCTGGCATAAGGAGGACAAACTGATGGCAGAGCGGAGACTTACTGACTTCTGTTTGAGCTCAGCTGCGCACAGGGCACAGTAGCTTCAATGCCCCAAGATTACCCCGGGCGGGGGAGGGGAACGACAGAGGAACAAAAACTAGATCTGGAAGCCGGCCTTCTGACCCCGGCTCTTCCCACGCTCCGTATACAGCCCGTGGTGCCATGCAGGTGGGGAAGGGGCGCCCACAGACGCTGGAACACCTGCCTTTCTCCTCAGGGAGCCAGGGGGCTCTCTCCTTGGTACCCTTCCTGCCCAGCCTCCCCGAGACAGACACCCTTGTGCCCTAGGTCAAGGTCTCCCATGCCCGGAAGTCTGTGCCCGGCCATGGCTGCCTGTTCTCCTGTCCTCCTCCAAGCTTGCAGCTGGGAGGAGGCACGCAGGGTAAATGTCCACTCCCCAGGGAAGGGGTCAGAGGTGCACCAGAGCCTGAGGTTCACTGCCCACAGAGGTGTGAGTCCGAAAGCCCCCAGGAAGTTCTAACATCTAGGAGGCTGGGGGTTTCCTCTTGGCCGGGTGGGTAAAGCTGCCCAGGCAATGGATCCAGCCCTGCTCTGCAGACACTCCTGCATTCACGGGGGCCATGGGCACAGGCCAGGGACACATGGCTTTGGGAGCTGCCCGGCCATAGTTCTGTCCCCTGCTCTGGCCTCAACCAGCGACAGGCCTCAGGCAAGTCAGTCAGCACTTCTGGCCTCAGCTAGCTGCTCGGTTAGTGGGGCAAGGATGCCAGCCAGGGCTGTGGGGAGGAAGGTCCAGGTGCCCGTGCCCAGGGGCAGCGTGATCACCGGGGAAGCGGCTCCTCACCGCGGAGGGTCTGCGGAGTCCAAAGGGAACAGCAGCCAGGAGGCAGAGTCCTCTCCCGGCCGGTGGGTGTCTCCGCCTGGCGTTTAACCATTAGGCAATCGTTTTAACCTCAAAGGTGCATACTTATCTGGAAATATTCTCAGTCGCAGCCGCACTCTGGGTCACAAGGCAAGGAGAGGAAAGAAGGGGGTGGATGGGGGACCAGATGCAACCACATCATTAAAAACGCCCGGCGTGAAACCGCGCCCCGGGGCAGCCCCACCTGGCCGTAGCCCCTCAAGAGGTGCCTTCTGCTCGCCGGGGCTCCCTGAGCACCACACCCGCCAACCCCGGGAGGCTCCGGACCTGGCCGGCCGTGGCACCACCCGGTCCTTGGCTGGGTTTCCCCAGCCGGCGGTGGGAGGGCGCAATGCGCCAACCCTACTCGATGGTGACGGAATGTCGTCTCCAGGAACCGCGAGGAGCGGGAGTCGGGAAAACCCGGGGGCTCTGTGCCCACCAGCCGACCCAGCCTGGAGGGCCTGGCGGGGCCGCGGGTGTCAGGGGATGCCGCCCCACCGCTCCCGAGGCCCTGCGGTGCGCTCTGCTACGCGCGTGCTACCCGGCGCGCGCCTAGCCTTGGCCAGCCCGGGACCGCCCCATGTGACAGGAAAAGGGCACAGCCCCTGTAACACGCACGCCCTCTCCTTCAACACCGGCCCGGCCTCTTTTCCCGGACACAGCTCTGCGCCCCTCCAGGAAGCACGCGGACTGCCATCAGAGGCCCTCGTCGCTGGGTCCTAAGGGCGGGCACGGACGCCCGGCGGCTCCCCGTCCAGCCCCGCCGCGGCCGCCGCCTCTGCCCCGATCGCCTGGCGCTGACTGCGGGGGTGGCGCGGGTTCACACAGAGTCGAGAGCGGGGTGCGGAAGGAGACCCAGGAGCTCTGTCTCTGGGAGGAAGAGGCCCCGGCTCTGGGGGTCTGGGCGGGGTCTCGGGGTCTGGCCTCCGGGGGTCTCAGGGTCCCGTCTCCGGGAAGCGGGGGGGCCAGGGTCTCAGGGTCTGGTCTGCGGGGGCCGGGGTCTCAGGGTCTGGACTCTGAGGAGCGGGGCGAGGTCTCAGGGTCTGGTCTCCGGGGGTCTGGGGGGAGCGGGGTTTCAGGGTCTGGTGTCTCAGGATCTGGTCTCCGAGGGTGCTGAGGCAGTGGGCGCAGCCGGCTGTGCGGCTCAGGCCGCAGGGAGCGCCCTCCTGTAGGAAGCAGCGCCTCGGCTTCCTCAGGACAGGCAGCTTTCTCGGGACAGGCGGTGCCAGGTCCCACCGGAAGGCCGCCTGAGGCTGCTCAGGCGGGAAAGCGGGTGACTCGGAGGCCCGAGGGCGCCGCCTGTCTCCTCCGCGTGGCCCACACAGACTTGCCTCTGTCTGCGGCGTGTCTGGCAGCCCACTCCCCCCAACCTCGTCATTTCTAGAACTGTCCCCGGCGGCTGCGAGGTCTCCCCTCAGGGCACGGCCTTCCCGACGGAGCCTCTCCCGGACGCTGGCGTGCATCGTCTCCACGCGCTCGGCGGACTAGCCTGGGGCGGCAAGGGGCCGGCAGGGTCGGGGCTCCCAGACTCCTCGCCAAGACGCCGGCCGGTGCCAAGCCTGCGGCGGCCACGGCCAAGGCCGGGCTGGGCTCGGGCCAGGCGCCGTCCGGCTCACAAAATGGCGGAGAGCGGCGGCCATTTTGTGCGGCTCTGGGAAGACAAAGGCGGGCGGCGCGGAGGGCAGGGCGCCCGCGGCAGGAGGACGTCCACTCAGGAAGCGGCCCAGGCCGAGTGGGCCGGGCCGGGGAGAGGGACGGGCAGCGCCCTCTCCAGAACCTTCCTCCTGCCTGAGCTCCTGGTCACCCGGCTGCCAGAGGGCTTATTGCCCCTTCAGGGGTGTTCTGGGTGGCCTCCAGAATGGATGCCTCACGCGGTCTGGGTCCTCATTGGCCTGATGTCGGGGCAGCCTTTGACCAAGTGGCCTGAGGGGCTCTCCTGCCTTCTCGGGACACCCCGGCACAGCCACCCCACCGTGATCCAGGCTGGCACCTCCTGTCTGCCCAGTGCGGGGAGAGGGGGCCACAGGGGCGGCTGCCAAGAAACACCCCAGGGGTGCCTGGCCACAGCACGCCTGACCTCCTGCAGCACTGAGACCCGGCCTGAGCCGGGCAGAGCCGCCCACAACAGCCTCTGGCGCCTCAAGACTCCTATCCTGCTTCCTGGCTCATGTCCTTTCTGGGGCGTCCCCTCCCCACTTCCTCTGGACAAGAGGCACGGCCCCCTCACCCCATCAGCCAGTGCCTGGCTCAGAACCCCAGCCGTGAGGCAGAGGCCAGCGACGCTCCTCTGGGAGCCCTGACTCCTTCCATTGCCACGCCTTCCTGCTCCTGCAGAGGGAAGACTCGGGATGGAGACCAGCCTCACTAAAGATGGCAGACAGGTTTAGAGGGTCCCGGTGCACGGACCTGGCTGCAGCCAGCAGGGCAGCCCTTGCAAAGCAAGCAACTCAGGGGAGACGCTACTCACATATCTGGGGTACAGCCGGGCCTGGTGCCTTCATGGAGACGGGCAGGCGCAGAGCCAGGGCAGGGCCTGTGTCCAGGTCTGGGCCCCGGGCCCCGCCCTGACCTCTTTCCCTGCCCACCCTGGTGTCCCACCCCGCTGGGCAGCAGGCGGGAGCCACATGGGGCCCAGTCAGTACCCCTGCTGGCCGGTTTTCTGCTGGGAATTGGCCCTGTTCTCCCTGGCGCCCTGGGGACCTGGATGGAGGCCGCCCCGCTGGCTCTTTAGGGGTTTGCATGGATGGGGTCCACAGGACAGGCAGGCATGCGTGGTGGGCCCAGAGCCCCACGGCAGAGCCACGTTGAGAAGCTGTACCTGCTGGGCCCAAGACTGCCGGGAGTCTGGGGTCACGGCCTGGAGACAGGGTCCCCATAGCGACCCCTGCCCCGGGGGTACCCCAGACCCCGGAGGTTCTCCTGGCCCGTGGTCCCCCGAGAGGATCTGGGTGCCCCTGAGCTGTGCTAGGCCTTGTGGAGTCTTGGGGTGGGGTGGGCCAGAGCCCACGGGGTACAGAGGCAGGGCGTGTGCCCTGCACACACCTGGGGACGTGCCCTCACGGCCTCCTGCGTGTTTGCCAGGCCCTGGGGGTCGGTCGCAGGGCACACTGGTGCCCCAGCCCGGGTGCTGGACACAGTTCTCAGGGCCCGTGTCTCCACAGGGAGGGCCCAGGAGAGGGCCCGCGGGCCTGTCTCCCCCGTGACGGCCTGGCGGTCCCCGGTCCTCCTCTCTGGTGTCGTCCTTCCCGGGGCCTGGCCTCTCTGCCTCCACCCGTTTGCGCTCTCCTTTGCTCTGCTACACTCCCCTCAGGTCTCTTCCCCGTCCCTGATGTCCCCATGGGGGCCTCCCCCCTCCCCGCCCTCGGGCAGCGGCTGGCGCAGGCCCTCCGTGCAGACACAAAAGCTCGGGCAGCGTCTGCGGAGTCTGGCAGGCAAGCTATACCTGTAAACACGCGAGGCCCAGATGCCAGAGGGGTCCCAGGTCCTGTCCAGGCAGACCTGGGAGGCAGGCCTGTCCCGGGGCGTGGCACCAGGCAGGGAGAAGGGAGAGGCTGACGGTCTGGCCCTGACCCTCACGGACCCCGTGGCCCTCTAGGAGGCTGGCAGCAGCCGGGGGGGCCCGACAGTCTGCACTGCAGGCTGGCTCCTGGGAGGGGCAGGGTGTGGCCAGGGGGGCCCAGCAAACTCAGAGCACGACGGCTCCATCAGGGCAGGGGGCCGAGGGGCAGGCCGGGACGTCCTCACACGCCGAGCCCCTGATCTCTGCACAGTGGTTACCGGGCCCCAGCTCGCCGCCCAGGCCCTCCTGCAGTGGCTGCCTCCGTGCAAAGGGGGCTTCATCCACCGTATGTGCCGGGGCCAGCCAGAAACACGTCTCGAGTCGAGCCGCCTGGGGGAGACCTCGGCAAGCCCCTCACTCCGTACTCACCCTGGTCCCTCGGCTGCAGAAAGAGGCTGGCAGGAGGGCAGAGCTGAGTGGGGCGCACCCCCAGCTGAACCTGAGCAAATGGGCAGGAATTGCCTGTCTGGCCCCGTGACACCCTCTCTCACATGCATGCGCGCACGCACGCGCGCACACACACACACACACACACACACACACACGTGTGCTACACGTCTGTGTTCTGTCAGACATACCCAGCCCAGGGTGGGGCCGGGACAGAGTGGGTGGGGAGCTCTGATTTTCAACATCCGAACGCTGCCTGACCTGAGCGTGGCACAGTCATCCGAGCTCCAGGCGTCAGCAGAGGACCGAGGCGTCCGGGCGGAGGGATGAGGCCTGGGAGGAGAGAGAGATGCTGCTTAAGTCGTGGGAAAGCGCACACCCCACATCTGCACACCGTTGGCTTCGACCCTGCCCGAGACCCCGCCCTAAGACCCCGCGGCAGCCAGCACAGCTCAGGGGCACCCAGAGCCTCTCGGACACTACGGGCCAGGAGCACGTCAGGGGCCTGGAATACCTCAGGGCAGGAGGGCCATCTATTCCGGTGATGTGCAAACAGACCCGCGACCAGCAGGAGGCTGCTGAGACTCTGAGGCCTCAGAGAGGTCCCCTCTCCCGACTCAGCACCTCCAGCAGAGTCTTTACTCGGAGGGCCGCCTCCACACCCTTCCCAAGCCTGTGACACTGACCCGAAGCCCGTGGTCAGTTACCACAGCAGGCCTGGGTTCCTGGGCCACCGAATCCCTCCTGGCTGCCGCAGAGGTGCTGCTGACAAAGCCCCGAGCCGCCTGGAGGCTACTGCCAAGTCCCCTTTCTGCATGGGGCAGTGGCGGCTCTGCCTTGCCTCAGGCTTTCCACTTGCTCTGGCAAAGGGAGACGGGGCCAGCAGGGCACCCGGCTGGGGAGTTCTCTCAGTGGATCATGAAAAAGTGGAAGTGTTAGTCGCTCAGTCATGTCTGACTCTGCGACCCCATGGACTCTAGCCCACCAGGCTCCTCTGTCCATGGAATTCTCTAGGCGAGAATCCTGGAGTGGGTTGTCATGCCCTCCAGGGGATATTCCCAACTCAGGGATCGAACCCGGGTCTCTTGTGTTGCAGGCAGACTCTTTACCGTCTGAGCCGCCTGGGAAGCCCTTCAGTGGATCATAAACGCCTGCAGAGACCGGGTTCCACTCCCAGGCTCCTTGCTAAAGTCGCGGGTGCGCTGGGGTTCACTCTGCACTCCCAAACTCTGCTAGGAGGTGTTCCTGCCCAAGTCTTACGGAAGGGTAAACCGAGACTCAGGATTCCAGAGAAGCCTGTCAGGCCGGACAGCTTGTGGGAGGTGGTCTGGGGGCTGCAGGCACTGACAGTGCTGGGTGGTCTCAGGGGAATCTCTGCACCAACAACTCTGGTGGGGGAGGGGGCAGGCAACCCCCCAATTCTGTCTCCTTTGAGGATTCTGACCAGTGCCACGGCTGTGCACACAGCAGGTGCGGGGCTTGGCGGCACCACAGCAGACAGCAATCAGCTGCTCTACTCCCCAGTTCCTGGTGGTGAGGCGGGCACCCCTGGGCGGTCTGGGCCCAGCTGGCTGCAGGTTGGGGCCTGCAAGGAAGGGCTGGTGCTGGGGTCTCCCGAGACTGGTCCATGTTCCCCTCCCGGTCAGGCCGCTCACCTCCTGGGGTGCCTTGCCACCCAGACTCGGGGCAAAGACCGCCACACGTCCCTGGAGCGTCTTCCGAAGGCCACGACAGGCGTCCGGTTTCCTGGAAGTGCTCTCGGACCAGCCGTGTTCTACAAGAAACAAAGGGAGCGAGGAGTCAGCCCCACAGGTGTGGTGGCTCGCGGCCCAAGCACAGAGGGGCTCAGCGGGCCTCTGCCCTGCCCTCATCTGCCCCACCCCGCCCGATACTGCTCCTGCAGACGCCCAGCCCTCCACACACGGCCGAGGAGGGGCCTCCGCACCAGAGATCGGGGACCTTAGAGGCGGAGGACCGCAAAGAAGAACCTTTTCCGACAATCTGACCGCCCCACTGTCGTCCCTGGCGCTGGACTCACGCTCAAAAACAAACCCACCCACCGCTCCCTCGCAGCCCAGCCACGCATTCTCTTGAGTCTGCAGAGGAAGGGGGCTGGCAAGGCTCGAGGCGCCTGCTCCCAGCAGAGCAAGCTTGCCACGTCATGGAGCCCCACCCTCTTCACTCTGGCCCTGCCTTGGCACCCACCAACTAGCAGCTGTGGCCAGTTCTCCTGCCATCAGAGGCCCGATTCCTACCCATCCTTTCAGTCACCTCCTCCGGGGGGCCTCCTGGGTCAGGAGCAATGGGGCCAGCTCTAGCAACAGGCTGGTGTCCCTTGAAATCAGCTCACAGAGGCTCTTGCTACCTGTCCCCCCTCAGGCTCCAGCTCCTGAGCCTGGTAGAGACCTCTTTGCAGCTGTGTGATCCTCACACTTAGCATGGTGCCCAGCACCCAGGAGGCCTGGAAATGCCCCCACAGAATTTATTTTCTCGAGCTCCTAAATCACTGCAGATAGTGACTGCAGCCATGAAATTAAAAGACACTTGCTCCTTGGAAAAACAGCTACGACAAAGCTAGACAGCATATTAAGAAGCAGAGTGATTACTCTGCCGACAAAGGTTGTGTATAGTCAAAGCTGTGGTCTTTCCAGGAGTCATGTATGGATGTGAGAGTTGGACCATATAGAAAGCTGAGCACCAAAGAATTGATGATTTTGAACTGTGGTGCTGGAAAAGACTCTTGAGAGTCCCTTGGACTGCAAGGAGATCAAACCAGTCAATCCTAAGGAAGTTAACTGAATATTCATCGGAAGGACTGACGCTGAAGCTCTAATACTTTCGCCACCTGATTCGAAGAGCTGACTTATTGGAAAAGACTGATACTGGGAAAGACTGAGGGCGGGAGGAGAGGGTGACAGAGAATGAAATGGTTGAATCACATCCCTGACTCAATGGACATGAGTTTGAGCAAGCTCCGGGAAATGGTGAAGGACAGGGAGGCCTGGCGTGCTGCAGTCTGTGGGGTCACAGAGAGGCTTAATGACTGAGCACCACCACCCTCAGAACTGTGCCTGCTCCCTGGGAATAGAAAGTGCAGATGTGACTTTGTGTCCTTCCCGAAGGAGCCAGTACGGGGACACCCTGGGACAAGGCCCAGGAGACTGAGCAGAGACCCGGAAGCCAGACCTCAGCCGACAGCAGCCCAGGCCCAGCCTTCTGCTCCCACCCGGCCTGGGCTCAGGCCGCAGGAGGCATGTGGCGCTCCCAGACCAGGGATGGCTCATCCTCTGTGACGTCGAAAAGCCAAACCCAAACGGAGGTCCAACCTGCCACGACTGGGCGTTCTGCTGGGCC